GGAGATATTTTACTGTTTTTATCCAAATTTTAATTGGGGATATTTTACTGTTTTTATCCAAATTTCAATTGGGGATATTTTATTGTTTTTACTAGAACAAACTGAGAGTGAGGTGGCTCAGCCTGCATGTGAAGCTCTGTAACATGCTTTTAAGGGGAAAAAAGTATTTTATTTGTTTTTATCCAAATTTTAATTGGGGATATTTTACTGTTTTTATCCAAATTTTAATTGGGGATATTTTACTGTTTTTATCCAAATTTGAATTGGGGATATTTTATTGTTTTTACTGGAACAAACTGAGAGTGAGGTGGCTCAGTCTGCATGTGAAGCTCTGTAACATGCTTTTAATTGTAAAAAGTATTTTATTTGTTTTTATCCAAATTTTAATTGGGGATATTTTACTGTTTTTATCCAAATTTTAATTGGGGATATTTTACTGTTTTTATCCAAATTTTAATTGGGGATATTTTATTGTTTTTACTGGAACAAACTGAGAGTGAGGTGGCTCAGCCTGCATGTGAAGCTCTGTAACATACTTTTAAGGGGAAAAAAGTATTTTATTTGTTTTTATCCAAATTTTTATTGGGGATATTTTACTCTTTTTATCCAAATTTTAATTGGGGATATTTTATTGTTTTTACTGGAACAAACTGAGAGTGAGGTGGCTCAGTCTGCATGTGAAGCTCTGTAACATACTTTTAAGGGGGAAAAAGTATTTTATTTGTTTTTATCCAAAGTTTAATTGGGGATATTTTACTGTTTTTATCTAAATTTTAATTGGGGATATTTTACTGTTTTTATCCAAATTTTAATTGGAGATATTTTACTGTTTTTATCCTAATTTATAAGTTGAGGCAGGTCATTTTATGATTATTTGGGAAATGAGGGACTTTTTACATTATTTTATCCATTTGGGTGTGGGGGACAAAGGGAATATTTTACTTTTTAAGACCAAATTTTAATTTATACAGGAGACCTTTTTTTTTATCTTTTTTTTAGTTAAATGTTGAGCCCCAAAGTCAAATCAAAGACTTAAAAACTGGTACTCCAAAAGGAAAAGATAGGTGACCTACTGTGGGCATTTGTCTTGGTGAACTAGCACCTTAAAGTCCAGCTAACCCACAGGCCGGCTGGCTAGTACAAGCAGACAGGTATTTTTAATACCATTTGGCATTTTTAAACTTTGGCATTTTTCATTTGGCTTTTTGTTTTATGTGTTTTTGAACTATTTGGATTTATACCATTTGGCAATTTTCATTTATGTTTTTTTCATTTTTTTCAACATATTTTGTAATCAACACACCAAAAGCACTTCAAAATTAAGAGTGGGATATATACTTTTTGGCCTCCATAATGTTTATCAATCAAAACAGCATTCTATTTTCAAATTTACATTACACAATTTGGCTTTCTGTAACGTTGGCTGTTTATCTTTTGTACGAATGCTATGATGACCATTATGTGTAGAAAATAAGACTACATTTCTAAAAGTGGCTCAGGTTCATATATTTATGTTTGATATCAATCAGTTCTAAATTTCCTTCACATTTCTAAAATTTAAGATCTTCCATATCTGGTACATCTTATAATATCGTATTCATCTACTAACCCAATTTTCTCATAGGGACTTAACACGAAACAGAAGGGGTATTAGGTGGTAGGTGGTTAAGGGTGTTATGATAGGGTGAAAGGGTGAGAAAGGGAGGGAGAAAAATAGAATGATGGAGAGGGTGAGGGTATATGATTGTGAGTGGAATATAGAGAGGGAGTAAATCTGTGAGAGAATGTGATTTCATAGTAAGGGCAGGGTGTACTGGTCTGGAAGTATAGTTTCTGTTTTGTCTCATGTAGTTTCTGTTTTCTACATCAATCTGATAAGTTTAAATATTGAGAAATTGCTGTCTTCTAAAAGTTCACGGTTAACAGCCTTTCTTGTTACTGTTTATGTGCTGCTTATATATAAACATTGTAGCACTTCTCAGTAGCTAGATAGAGTTGTGGCTTTTCATCAAATTAAGCAGCAGCTTCTGTACAGTTCATGTTGGAATGATACCAAGTGCTGTGTTTTTCTTCCAAGTTGAGAACATTTTTGATCTTCATGAACTAGTAATTACACATGGTGAAGCTTTTTATAGCCCCGCAACATATATGGCCTCGCAACAAAGCCATATAGTTTTACCCTTGTCTGTCATTCCATCATTCCGTCAATCCATCTTTCCATCATTCTGTCATTCCGTCATTCTGCAACAAACCATTATACGGGCTTTTTTTCTAAATGCCAAATTACAGGCTTTGGACTTAGATAAATTGTTGAAAATCACAGTTATACAGACTGGTTTTTCTAAAGGCCTTCAGATATTGGGCTGATTTTTTATATGTGAGTTAACCATAATGAGTTACAGATCAAGTTTGAGTTTTGTCCTGCTCTACTATTTTTGCCAAAATTACGGGCTTTGGACTTCGATAAATTGTTGAAAATCACAGTTATACAGGTTTTTTTCTAAATGCTTCAGATATTGGGCTGATTTCTGGTATGTGAGTTAACCATGATGAGTTACAGATCAAGTTTATGTTTAGTTCCGCTTTGCTAATTTCCCCAAAATTACAGGCTTTGAACTTTGATAAATGGTCGAAAATCACAGTTAAATGGAGTTTTTTAAAGCCTGAAGATTTTGAGCAGAATTTTGATATGTGCTACCATCATGTTTGTGTTCAACATGTGTTGTTGAAATTGCAGATTTTTCAACTTTTTGAGACAGGGCCATTCGTGTCGTTTTGACACATCTAGTCTTTTTTTGCAACATGTTTTTTTATCAACACAACCAAAACACTTCAAAATTAAATATACACTTTTGACATTCATAATGATTATCAATTATTTTCAAATTTACATTAAATAATTAAATAACTTTAGTATAAGTAAATAGAAATGTATGAAATTTGAACACAAGGTTAATAACCACACAAGAAAGGTTGGGGTTTTAAGGGATTTACTGAGGAGGCAAAAAGGGGCCCAAAAAAAACATTTTTCTAGTTTCCAGACAATAACTTGTGGAACATTGTATGGATCTCTCTGAAATTATACCACGATTTTCCATTCCTCAAAAGGATGGTTAGGGTTGGCTTTTGAGGGTTATAGCTTAAACCAATTAGGAATTAGGGGCAAAAAAGGGGGAAAACAATGATTTCCTGTTTGATGGACTATTACTTATTAAGTACATGAATGTTACGTTTGAATTACATACCTTACACTACTTTTAAATCATGTATAACGAAATGTATTGTCTTGAGGTGATTTGCTGCCAATTTGTTTTTAGAAAAAAGTAAAATCACAAAAATGCTAAACTCTGAGAAAAATTCAAAACGGAAAGTCCCTAATCAAATGGTAAAATCAAAAGCTCAAACACATGAAATGAATGGATAACAACTATCATATTCTGACTTGGTACAGGCACTTTCTTATGTAGAAAATGGTGGATTGAGCCTGCTTTTATAACTAGCTAAACCTCTCACTTGTATGACAGTCACATCAAATTCCATTATATTGACAACGATGTGTGAACAAATCAAACAGACAAAACAGGTGAAAATGTCAAAAATACAGCCATCAAGAGAGAACTAACTGTTTTATAAAAAAGAATTTTTAAGGATGTATTTAAATGGGTAATTATGGTTGCAAATTCTATTTGGAATTTTAAATTTTAAATTTTAGATTACAGAAATTTCAGAAATTAAAAAGACATTTTTTTTAAATATAATTTATTTTTGCCAAAAAAAAAAGGGGAGGTGTCAATAAACAACAGCATAATAGTGTTTTGCACAAGAGCAAAAAAAAATGAGGGGTCAATATGCAACAGCATAGTGTATTGCACAAAAGCAAAGCTTAAGGGGTGTATTTTTTTGGGTAGGCCGGGGTCAATTCGCATGCATAGTGTATTGCATATAAGCCAAAAAAAATAATATAAATTGAAACATATAACCAATTCTAAGTTCCTTGACTACAGTTATTCTCTGTCAGAATCCTATTATGTGTCAAATATTTAATTACAATCCATATTCAGACCCAAGCGCGAATATTGTGTCCATTTTTGCCCCAACTGTTCATGGTAGGACTTCCGCGGTCGTATCTAGCTGCGCTCGGCGAAGCAATTTATTATCTTCGAAATGTTTTGTAGGAATTCTGCTTCACAGAAATACAAAACAAGTCGGTCATTAGGGATGACCAATAAGTACCCATAAGTGAGACTATAAAACATAACAAGGTTGAGAAAAATAAAATTTGGTACATTATAAACCTATAATAATGTAAGCTCTGTACAGCTTTATACCAACGAACAAATAAAAGGCGTATACAATTCATGTAAACAATTTAAGACATGCAAATAAGATAAAATGCATATCAATGTGAAAGCATTATTAAGTGAAACAAGATGTCACAGTGCTCATGATAGCATTTACACTGAAAAAAGCACAGTTAAATTGAGCGCAGAGCCGGAACATAAAAGTAAAAACAAAGCAAAGGAGAAAAATATAAAGTACCGATGATAAAAGTATGTATGCAGTACCAGTGCAGATCCAGAAATTTTGATAAAGGGGGTGGTAGTGGCCAAGAGGGGTCCCACTCCAGTCATGCTTCACTGATCCCTAAATAACTTAGTTAGTCAAACGAATTTTCTAACAAAGGGACCGGGACCCCTGTCCCCCACTTAATACGCCTCTGAGTACAAGTCATATTTTATGTCCATTATAGAATGACACGATTTCCCCGCTATAAATAACATTATCTTTAGTTTAGAATAAACAGTGTTTTCACAAGGTTCAGTTACATTTTTCTTTTAAATAATCATAACAGATATAAGTTTTAAGAATGTTCTAATTTACGAAAACAGGTTTGATATTTGAATGTTAAATAAAACTGTTATTATAATAGTTTCCCAAAATAAAACCTTCCTCATTCAAAATATCTCTGACCATTGGCTATCGAACGGAGCAACTGGAGTACTTCTGTTTATTAAACAAAACCAACCGGAAGTTAGGTTGTTGTCGTGACTTTTCTACCAAACTCATCCAAAGTGCAATATTGTTGTGTGATTTTACTTTATTCACGTGCTTTAGATAGATGACAACACAAATTACTATCAAGATAGATAAACAGAAGCTAAATTTTATTTACAATTGAAGTATCCAAATATTGTATGCTTTGTCATTACATAATTCAACCGACTAGATCTACAACAACCTATTCTCGGGAACCAGGTTCTGTAACCAACATCCTACAGACACTTGGCTGGCCAACACTAGCAACACGCAGATAAGGAGCCAGGCTCATACTCCTATATAAGATCCTGCATGGAGAAGTATCAGTCATTATCCCAGATTACATCAGGAGACCAACTGTAACAACCAGACAATACCACAGGCACAGAGACAGGTTTTCCAGAGTCAGCACTTCAACGGATGCCTATAAATACAGTTTCATCACCAGAACAAATTTTTGACTGGAACCAATTACCTGAAAGTGCCATCCAAGCCCCCACAACAGACGCCTTCCGGGTCTGTGTGTGGCAGTTCCTGGCGTAACTATTGATACCTGATTTTAACCCTGTACAGTTGTTGCAAACTCACATAGTTTTATTTGATTTTGTTCCTGTAAATACACAAGTTTTTGTTTATTTTTAACTTGGCATGTACTGGTTGACACAACCGCACAGTATATCTGTGTTATGGAAATTTCAACTGCAGATTAACCACAAAATATAGAAGAAGTACAATAAACACTAGACAACAGGAATGACAGGATATATCTTCTGGGGGGTAAATGGTTAAAACTAGATATAAACAGATTAACTTACTCATGTTCTATTATATACTGGTAAAGTACTAGGGTATCAGTACTAGGGTATCAGGTTGTTCTGGCCCAAAATCAATCTGGCCCCAAAACAATCTGGTTAATTACACTGTGACCAATATTTACGACTGAAGCTCGATCAAATGTCGAAAGCCCATTTATGGTATTCAACAGCTCATTGGTCAGAGTTCTAGTCAAATCAGTATCCGGTCAAATCGGCACTATAGTCAAATCAGCACCTAGTCAAATTGGCACCTTGTTAAATGGCACCTGATGTAGTCTTTAGGCACACATGATAAATATATTTAACCCGCAAAAATTTTTTTTGGATTGTATAATGGTATGATGTCGTCATCTGCGTTGTCCGATGACACATTTGGTTTCGAGACAATAACTTTAGTTTATATGAATGGATCTCTTTGAAATTTAATAAGAAGGTTCAATACCACAAAAGAAAGGTTGGGATTGATTTTGGGGTTGATGGTCCCACCGGTTAATTAATAATAGGCCCAAAAAAGCCCCAAAACAAGCGTTTTTCTACTTTCAGGATAATAACTTGTGTATAAGTATTTCAATTGCTCTGAAATTGTACCATAATGTTTAATACCACAAGTAAAAGGTTTGGATTCATTTTGCGGTCTATGGTGTCAACAGTTAAGAATTAAGGTAGATGGGGTGTCTAAATTATAATCCATAGAATTTTTTAATAATTTGCCAAAATGTAGTTTGTATCATGCTTTTAAAAAAAAATAATAAAAAGAATGGGTCACGGTGCTTATTTTCACGCTACAGGTTGTGCAAAATTGACAGATTTTGTATAGATTATGCATGGAAAACCCAATTTTCTGCCATAAAACTAAAACAACACCATAGAATTTTGAGATAGAATATGAGAAGAGAGCTCTAATATTATGCTTTCAGATAAGAAAAAGAAAAAATGGGGTCACGGGACCAGTTTTCTTGCTACATAATAAAATAGGTAAATTCCTAACACATTCTATTGTAAAAGTAACTTAATCTGAATTATCTGCCCTTATATTTGAGTTGCCTCCCCTTATGTGTCAAAGTTGGAAAAAATGAATCAAACAAAGGCATTCGGTTTTTTGTAAAATACAACCATACATATGATAAAACATGTCATTTTCTATATTGAAAGGAAAATTCTTACACATGAATTACCTACTACTCTCATAATTTGCACATTTTATTAAAGATCTAGACCTCTTGTTTTCTGGTATTTCAAAATCCAAGATGGAGGAAGACACCCTATCTACCTTAAGGGCCCAAAAGGGGCCAAAAACAAGCATTTTTGTAGTTTCTGGACAATAACTTGTGTGTAAGTGTATAGATCTCTCTTATATTGTACTACAAAGTTCCATATCACAAAAGGAAGACTTAGATTGAGTTTGGTCATTATTGTCCCATTCATGCAAGAATTAGGGGCCATAAAAGGGCCAAAAACAAGCATTTTTCTAGTTTACAGTCAATAACTTGTGTTTAAGTGTACAAATCTCTCTGAAATTATACCACAAGTTTCCATACTACAAAGGGATAGTTATTGGGGGTTATGGCTTAAATCATTTAGCAATTATGGGCCAAAAAAAGGGGGAAAACATGTGTTTTTCTGGTTAAAGGACATTTTAGACAATTTAAAAGCTGTGTTAGGGAGGTAATCCAATTCAGATTTAAAGAATACTGTTATATATATGTTTGATTACCTCCCTTACACTGTTTGAAAATTATGTATTAAGAAATGATGATTGTCTTGAGATGATAAGCTGTAATTTTTTTTTTAGAAGTAATACTATTCATTTATATTAATTTTAACCATGATTATGTCATTTTATATTTTTATATTTTATGATGTATTTATTAAATGAGTAGTTATTGTCAAAAACTCCATAAGAAATTTGAATTATTGTTAAAAACTCCATAAGAAATTTGAATTGAGATTATTATTGGAAGAAGGGAAAAGAGAAGATGAAAAAAAGAGGGGGGTGGGGGTGGTTAGGGGGTACTATTTTTCTCATTTCAGATTTCTTTAAATATTTTTTTTTTAGGGGATTAATATTCAACAGCATAGTGTATTACTCAAAAGCAAATAAATTTTTTAAGTTCATTAGACTACCAGAAACCTATGCTGTGTCAACTATTTAATCACAATCCAAATTCAGAGCTGTATCAAGCTTGAATGTTGTGTCCATACTTGTCCCAACTGTTCAGGGTTCGACCTCTGCAGTCGTATAAAGCTGCACCCTGCGGAGCATCTGGTTACTTTATTGTCGAGCCTTCGACTTTTGTCGAAAAAGCAAGACATAGCGATCCTACATTCCGTCGGCGTCGTCTTCGTCGGCGGCGTCCACAAATATTCACTCTGTGGTTAAAGTTTTTGAAATTTTAATAACTTTCTTAAACTACCCTGGATTTCTACCAAACTTGGACAGAAGCTTGTTTAGGGGACGACCATTTGATATTCTGGGGGGGGGGGGGAGGCCAGGAGGATTTTGAAAATAAATAACTCAGCCTTGATAATCACAAAAATAAATGGTTTGTTCTGTGGTAGTTTGAAAATAAATTACCTGACTTGCAATGTATTGAAAATAAATAACTCAGCAGGTCTTATCGAAAGTATGAGATGGCACCAGATTCTTCATGAATTCATCTTTTTTCCAAAAAAAAAATCGGGAAACACTTCCCATATCTTTTAATAATAAAAGTATAAATATTATTTAGATATACTTGAAATGTCAGAAAATTGGTTTCATTTAACTTGAGGTTAATTGTCTCAGGAACACTTACCTCACTTTTATTAAATCAGGGCCGTAACTACATTGAGACAAATGCCTCATGTAGGAAATTTCAAAACCAAACGCTTGTCTCCATATCAAATTGTGTTCACCATGAGTGCCTTGCAAGAAGCAAGTTCTGTTCTCCCTCAGACATAGCCCCTGATTTTTCGGGATCAATGTTTCTTATTTATTTGTCTTTTGTTCATTGATTGCCCTTCTGTATTCTGTTAGTGTTGCATTCATTTTGTAATTTAGTCATTTTATTATTAACTTGATGAGTTTAAAAAAACACAGCAGCCACAGACTTAACTATGTGAATTACATTTTTGCTTTATCATGCATATTTGTCTTTTGATGTTGTTCCTAGAAACTTAAGTCTTACACTGAATCTATAACGTGATTTTGCTTTGAGACCAAAATATTGTCATAAAATTATTAAACAGAACTTGCATTTTCGGTTTAAGAAAGGGTCTGGGGAACAACCAGAAGGCATGATTTTGCATCATTTGTTCTATAGCTTCTTGGGCCTTCAGCGGTTCCAAAACCCTTCCAAAAAAATTTTGGCGGAGCGAGGCGAAACATGTTGGCAATACTTTTAAAAGAGCCTTAGTTACAACCGAACTTTAATACTGTGTATGTATGCAATACATGTATATGCATTGGGGAATATAGAAGATTCATTTCTGCAGAGGATAATAATTAATTCTGATTAAATGGTACATAATGACTTGACTATACATGAATTATTTATAATGAACAAATAATTTAAAAATTGTATGTTTTCGAATATTATAAATATAGTTGTGAAAATAAATAATCAGTCCCTTGCTTTAATGAAAATGAAAAATCTTGCTTCAATAGTGCAGAAAATAGATAATCTGTCCTCTTAGTTTACAAAAATAAATAACCGATCCAAAACAAATCCTCCTGCCCCCCCCCCCCCCCCCCCCCCCCCCCCCCAGAATATCAAATGGTCGTCCCCTTATGATCATAAGATAATATTCAAAAGTAAATTTTGTAAAAAAAAAATCCATTTTTTCCGTATTTTACTTATAAATGGACTTAGTTTTTCTGCCAGGAAACATTACATTCACTCTGGTTAAAGTTTTTGAAATTTTAATAACTTTCTTAAACTATCCTGGATTTGTACAAACTTGGAAAGAAGCTTGTTTGTGATCATAAGATAGTATATATCCAGAAGTAAATTTTGTAAAAAAATATTCAATTTTTTCCGTATTTTACTTATAAATGGACTTAGTTTTTCTGCCAGGAAACATTACATTCACTCTGTGGTTAAAGTTTTTGAAATTTTAATAACTTTCTTAAACTATCCTGGATTTGTACCAAACTTGGAAAGAAGCTTGTTTGTGATCATAAATAGTATCCAGAAGTAAATTTTGTAAAAAAAAAAATCCATTTTTTTTCGTATTTTACTTAAAAATGGACTTAGTTTTTCTGCCAGTTAACATAACATTCACTCTGTGGTTAAAGCTTGTTTATGATTAAAAGCTAGTATCTAAAAGGAAATTTTGTTAAAATTTTGTGACATTTTTTCTGTATTTTACTTATAAATGGACTTAGTTTTTCTTCCAGTTAACATTACATAACAGTCTGCAGTTTAAGTTTTTATTTTAAAACATTTATTAGATTCATAAACCATCCTGGATTTTTACCAAACTTGGACAGAAGCTACTTACAATCAAAAGATAGTATAGAGAGGAATATTTTTATTAATTTTTTTCCTCATTTTTGTTGAGCCTGTGATTAACAGCAGAAGTAGGCGAGACACTAGGTTCCGCGGAACCCTTACGAATTTTGTTTACATTAATATTTGACGATTTGAACAAATCAAAGGGGAAACCAGGCATTATATTGCATAATATGAAAAAGAAGATGTGGTACGATTGCCAATGAGACAACGAGCCACAAGAGACCAAATGACACAGAAATTAACAGCTTACCATGATAAAAAGTTGAATAATGGAGATAAAGGGTATAATATATCAATGAGACAGCAACTTAATGACACAAAAAGTAAGAAGACATTTAAATATCAACACCAAAGCATCAAAGTCCATTTGGATTGTATCTAAAAACCACAGGGTTAAGATTTTAAATACCTGGTTAAACTGTTGTATAACATTTGAAATACTGTTAATACAGAAATAATGGTATGGTTTTTATATTGTGAATGACATGTTTTTTTTTACTGACCCTGGTTATCCATGAGGGTCTTGCATGGTCGTATATGTGAATAATGTATCTGGGTGGGTATCACCAGGTGTATATGTATACACAATATATTGTGAGATGAAGCATAGCCAGACAACTGCCAGGGGCGTAGCTAGGTATCCAATAAACTGTAGGCACAAATTGCGGCAGGGGGTCTGTGACCCCATAAGGCCCCTGGTAAGGGGTTCTGGGGGCATTGCCCTCCGATGGAAAACGGTTTTCAGCATTTAAGTTGCAAAATTTTGTGTACAAAAAAACATAAAAAAACGTCATTTTATCATGATAATATACATGAAAACAATGTCGAAAAAATAAACATAATTCTACAATTACATCTGACTGATGAATTAACCGGCAGTACAATCGGAAATATAAAAAAAAACAATATTTCCAATATGCATTGCCCAGCGTGGATCAGCGTAGCCCTTTATTAAGCAGCACAACCTGTTTCCGATTGAGTATAATTGATATATACGTCAATTGATAGTACATATTGACGATCCTTCATTAAAAAAAAAAAATAGGCACGTAAACACTGAGACTACTACATAATAATACTAACTTTTGGAATACGTCGCATCGACCATTCATATTTTGATTCTTAAACCTTCACCCTCCCCCGGCCACACAAACACATACACACACACAGTCAATACGTCATGCAGAAGTTCTGTTCTGTTCATACTACCGGTGTCTAACAAAATTCAAGAAATTCATATTTTCTTATATCCTGTACTGTAAAATCCCTACCTGCTTAGGAATTTGAATAATTATTGTCATTACATGTAGATCTGAGAGTACTCGAAGTTACTGAAAGCTAGTTGATTGATTGATTGATTGATTGATTGATTGATTGATTGATTGATTGACGTCCAGTGGCAAATAATTCATGCATGTTCAGGACTAAAACAGATAGAGGTCGTCCAGGATGAAGGTCTGGAAATTTGGAAATGCCATGCATTGGAAAATGAGGGTTTATTAAATAGGAACAGAAATTTGCCTTTCAGTAGACAACCTACTAACCCCTAAAAGAGTTGTTTCAAGTGTCTTAACGTGCAGAGAGCGTGGCATTTTTTATCTCTTCATTAGGCATCAGATTGAACTTGGGCCAACAACAACTAATTAAAAAAAATCATTTATCTAAGTTGAGGTTCATTCAAGTATTTGTTGATTGAAGTGAATGATCTGAACCAAAGTTCTAGTTTATAGTTTCTATATTAGGTGGAATATAATGACATACAGTTCCAATACGCCACTGATTCAATAAGGATGATAGACTAGTGTACGCATGACATTCAATAATAAAGAGTTTTGACGAATTCACATGCATCTAGCCATCTACAGATAACATTGTTTATTACTTTTTTTAATAAAAAAATTATTTGTGAAAAAATTATGTGTAGGCACATGCCTAAAGTGCCTAACGGCAGCTACGCCCCTGACTGCAGTAAATTATGTTTATTATATGCATTAAATTATAATTACTTTTTCATGTGATAGAAAAACTTTATAAAGTCATAAAGTAAAGATTATGTGAAATTATCTAATTGGTTTTTTCAGGAAAGTAACTAAAGTTAACTTTAAGTGCAGTATATCTGTGGACATTTTTTGTTCTGATAGTAATATTTTCTTTCTCTTTCACAATAGATGGATGGTAACTGAATCAATACAAATAGCCTCAATGAATTTGAAAAAGCTGCAAATGATATCTGAGTAACAAAAGATTGTTAGTGTGCAGTGTGCAGACAGTGGTTAAACAGAAGTTAACATTCTATTAGTTTTGGGATTTTACAATCATCTAGAGGAAATAATAGGAGAAAAAGGGACCTGTGTGGTAAAAACTTCCTAAAAGTCGTCCTTTATGTGTTCAACTTTTTCTTTTGGGTAAGTGTATTATATATATGTTTATAGTTATAGAAAAGGCAACTTAAAAAGATATTACAATTTAAATGATTTATTGATTATTGGTTGCTTAGAATCATCCATTGGCAAATATTATATATGCATGTTCAGAACTAACTATATAAAGTATATAATTTGTAAATGTATAATATAAGACATAAGAGAAGATATAGATACATGTTAATTGAATAATCTCCCTTTGTTCTTTGTTCAAATTAAATTAAATTCTTCGTTCATTGTTTTCTGTATTCTGTTGCTAGTAAGATTTTATAACCATGCTAACAGGATAAAAGATCCTAATATAAAATTATTTCTAATTTTTCAGCTAACATTGATAGCTAACTTCAAATTACAAAAATATTCCGTTTCCTAACTTTTCTTTATCATGTTCTGTCAATTAATTAAATGTTCTTTAAAATTCAATAGTATTTTTATGCATGATAAATTCTATATTTCTTTTCCAGCTGACAGCCCGGTTAGCTTTCCTAGCATTAGGGTTATATATCAAGTTCAAGAAGCATACCTATATCAATCTGCTAGGGAACAGTACTTTCCCTTTGGCAACATACTTGCTACTAGGAACAGGAGCCTTTATTATCTTGTCAGGAATCATTAGTTGTTAACTGGGACATGTATAGAAAATAGATGTTTTATGGTTATGGTGAGTTATTTCCCTTTGAACACATTGTCTACTTAGAATGTATACCAAAATTAAGTTTTTTAACTTTCACAAGCAAAGCCAACAATAAATTGAAAAAAAATCATTTCAGCTAATTCCAATTACATGTTATTTTACTTATGATTGTAATGGATATTATGTTGTATGGTCTGTTCGTCTGTCAGTCCAAATAGATTTTTAGGTTGTTTACATTGACGTTGTGGTCTTATCAACATGAAAATAAGGCCACATGATGTGAAATTACTATGGTATTAGGCCTATTCCACGGTTCACTAAACATTGAAATTATTACATTCTCAAGTTTAAAGTCATATGAAACGAGTGACTAATGAAAAATAATGTTTATCCAATTCTTGAACCAATAAAATTGAGATTAATGGAAATGGGGAATGTGTCAAAGAGACAACAACCCGACCATAGAGCAGACAACAGCCGAAGGCCACCAATGGGTCTTCAATGCAGCGAGAAACTCTGCAACCGGAGGTGTCCTTCAGCTGGCCCCTAAACAAATATGTATACTAGTTCAGTGATAATGGACGTCATACTAAACTCCAAATTATACACAAGAAACTAAAATTAAAAATGATACAAGACTAACAAAGGCCAATGGCTCCTGACTTGGGACAGGCACAATGCATGTTTATATCATAAACTTAGTCTTCTGTGCACGATTTTATCATTTTTTACGCAAAGATATCGTTTTTAAATTGTAAATTTTTTTTCTCTCTGTCTGTTATGATCTAACAAATATGGTAGCTCATTAATGGCCGTGTTTTGAAGCCGAAGTTTACCGATTGTTACTTTATAGTAAACTATCAACAAAAAAGGATGCAATCTATTGGCGATTTTATCATAAACATGCTGCTAATAAATGCCTCTTTAATAAGCTAGGTCCATTTTTCTATATTTTTTTTATCTTAGGAAATTACTATTGAAACATTGTTTATCTGTTATCTTGAAATTATCGTTTAAAAAGATGTTTTTTTATAGAGATGACTTAAGCCAATCAGAAAGTCAGACTAGAGGTCACATGTCTGGCATTTCATTCTCCTGTCTCATATTCTAAAATGTTATGGATAATTAAAACATTGTTGTGATGTCATTCTATTGTTTTACCCGTTCTTTATTTCAGTGATTGGACTATCATTAACCTGTAAGAAACCATTATGTTACCTTTAGCTGTCCAATATTTTTAAGAATAGACCTCCTCTTTCTTAAAAATATTGGACAGCTAAAGGGTAGCATTACTGATTCTTACAGATAAATGATAGTTCAATCACTGAAATAAAAAAAAAACTATTAATTACCCCAATTGTTTTCATCATGTAAACAAAAATAAAACCAAAGATCAAATGACAATTAAAAAAACATTTTATTAAAGTCACCTTCCAATACAATAATTTTGTCACTCATCAAAACGGTTTCTTGAGGAAAAAATCACTTTCAAATTGATTTTTGTCTCGCTTGACGGAGTCAAAAAGCGAGACATAGGTATGCTGTTTCCGGCGTCGGCGGCGACGGCGGCGTCAACAATGTATTAGTTTGTGATTATGTCTAGTTTATGGTGAACCACTAGTGGTAAGTCAAAGATATTTGGTATGCAGTTGTATTGGTATTGGCACATCTCATTACCATGGAGATTATTTGGCCTCACCCCCTCAGTCATGGTCTATTGACTTTGAAACTTTGCTTAGTTTTCATGTATTAGTTTGTGATAAGGTCATTTTATGAGGAACCACTAGTGGTAAGTTAATGATTATTGGTATGCAGTTGTATAAGCATTGGCATATCTCATTTCCATGGAGATTATTTGGCACTGCCCCCTCAGTCATGGTCTAATAACTTTGAAATTTTTGCTTAGTTTTCATGTATTAGTTTGTGATTAGGTCAGTTTATGGGGAACCACTAGTGATAAGTAAATGATAATTGGTATGCAGTTGTATGAGCATTGGCATATCTCATTTCCATGGAAATTATTTGGCCCTGCCCCCTCAGTCATGGTCTATTGACTTTGAAACTTTTGCTTAGTTTTCATGTATTAGTTTGTGATTAGGTCGGTTTATTGAGAACCACTAGCGATAGGTCAATGATATTTAGTATGCAGTTGTATTAGCATTGACACATCTCATTACCAGGAAAATTATTTGACCCCCGCCCCCTCAGTTATGGTTTATTGACTTTGAAATTTTGCTTTATTTAAATGTATTAACTTGTGTTTGAAAATTTGCTATATTTAAATGTATGAGCTTGTGTTTAGGTATGTTTAAAGGGAACTACTTATGATAAGTCAATGGTATTTAGTATGCAGTTGTATTAGCATTGGTACATCTCATTTCCATGGAGATTGTTTAGCCATGTACCTTCAGTCATGGTTCATTGACTTTGAGTATTTGCAAAACGTACATGTTAAATAAAGTGTTGCGATTTTAATTTCAACATTTGCATTATCGAAATTACAAAAAAGCGAGACATATCTCTGTGATAACAGCTAGTTTATTAACACTACCAATACTTATATCACAGCCATTTTTCTCATGTCTTTGGGTTGTCTCTTTTAGCACTAATTCAATAAGTTGATTATGCTCGTTGTAAGTCTTGTTTTTATTGCTTTTATGAATTTCTTTTTCCAAAAGATTTATCCTCGTCCGTCTTTAGGTTATCAAAATTGACCTCTGGTGATGCCCTTCCTAACATCATTTTCAACTGCAACTAAAATGAAAAAAGCAATAAAGTAATGCTTCTAAAATTTGATAGATCATGCCGCAATACAAGGGTCATGAACAACCGAAACCTTATCCTGTGTACAAAGTGCGAATTAGAACTTCCTTCATGAACCAGGGGACTATGAAAGTTTTTATAATTTTCAGGTTTCAATGTGTAAAACAATGTAAGATATAAGCCTCTAACAGTCCTTTCTGTAAAATATTTTACAGAATGGATTGTTATTGGCTTATATCCCTTAGAGAGAAAAATATCATGTGACATCAAACATTATCCATTGATTTATGGCAAACCTTAAATATCTAAATATTATAAAATATATCTAAATAAAGGCAACAGTAGTATACCGCTGTTCGAAACTCATAAATCGATAGAGATAAAAACAAATCCGGGTTACAAACTAAAACTGAGGGAAACGCATCAAATATAAGAGGAGAACAACGACACAACAAAAACACAACATTAAAATGTAACACACACAGAAACGAACTATAATATAACAATGGCCATTTTCCTGACTTGGTACAGGACATTTTAAGAAAAAAAAGGTGGTTTGAACCTGGTTTTGTGGCATGCCAAACCTCTCGCTTTTATGGCAACGTCAAACACAACACCAAAACGACAACATCACATGACAGGACCACAAAACAAATAAATGGGAGAACATACAGGACAAAGAAACACACGAATAATAGCTAACAAAAGGTACTAGGCTTAAAATTCAATACGCCAGACGTGCGTCTCGTCCACACAAGACCAACCAGTGACGCTCAGATGAAAAAAGTTTGAAAGCCAAAACAAGTACAAAGCCAGAAATTATGGAATCATTGTTCAAAAGTACCTTTATGGTAGTAGTAGAATCTTTTTTTAAATATATTTCAATCTAATTTATGTACATACAGGTTGGAAGAGACTGATGAACTATACATATCTGGGATACAGAATCAATGAAACATCGTCAGTACTGAAAGGTCAACATCAAAGAGGGGTCTGTGCTGTAGACTTCTCAGGTATTTATTGTTTGTTCATTTTCAGTCTTAATACAAAAAATTTATGCAGATTGAAACATGACAGGATATTTTTGGTGGTTAACCTTGTAATGATTTTGACTGGAACAAAAGAATGGATGTCAGGAAAATCAGGAAAATAAGATTATAAGTACAGCTAGTATGGGAATAAAACCTGGAATTTTATCACCAGATCTGGTTGGACTTGGATATTTGTTGATTTGTTACTGCCTGAAAATTATCTACTACAGTGATACTTAATTTATTGCCACCTTTTGGAACATGTAAAATACTATCGACAAGTCAGGATGGCAGTATATCAAAGTAGAAATTTATATAAATACTGCACACATTTGAGAAAAGTTGACTCTAGGATTATTCTTAAATATTATGGGTGCAATAATTGACATTTGAAACATTTTAAGAAAATCAATACCTGCATTTTGCAGAGATTTTAGTGTTTGTTACAGTAAGATTTAAAGCATAAATGTCTTAACTGTTTTATGAAAATTAATTTAAATGACAAGTTTGGTTTTATTTATTTTAGGTAGTGGTAAAGTTTGGCATCATTTGGTTTGGATGACAACCATCTTATTGTAGTTTGAGACTGGAGAAAGGGAGAGAAATTAACATCTACCAGGTAATATTTGTATAAGAGTTTATATAGAATCATTTTCATAACAGCTTGGACAAGACCAGGTCTTGGGGCACTCAGGTTATGAATTGACTGGGCCAGATAAGGTAAACTTTCATGTATTACATTACATTCTCTCTTGACTTTACATAGCTTTATCATTGACAAGTTTAAGTTCTCAAAAACTATTAAAAAATAATTAAAATTTCTTGGACAACTCATGGGTATTCTAAAACTTCACCTAAATTGCACATAAACACTGTGGACCATCAGTGGACTTGCATTTAAGATAGTTCAAGCATATTATATTATAAAAATCTTTGGTTCAGGGATAATTTCTAAATCCTACTGAACAGATGGAAAAAAGGGGGAGAAGATGCAACTTCAAGGTTAGATTTTTGTCAAAATGAAGATAGTCGGCTACAGAAAACAGCAAAAAGACGACAGAATACTTACTCATAGTCAAGTTATGTTGTATGATTCTGCTTGTATGCTGAAACCCCTAGGTAATACAAAAACAATCCGTCCATTCAAATATGTGGGTTTCAAGCTTCCTATCGAATCGGTTTTCCAAATAAGGAAAATAAGCCAGGCCTCCGTTGCGAGATCGACAAGAAGGATTTTCATACAATACAAGTTATGAAATATAATGTGACATATGGTTTTTAATTACAACAAATTATCATTATTTATCTTATTCTGCATAGTTTATCAATAAAAAGAACAAAATACGAGAACGATTGACGACCAGAGAAATGAAGTGGACAGCCAAGGCCGTAACTACCATTGAGGCAAGTGAGGCAATTGCAAAAAATTTCGACACTAAATTTTTTGTGTGTATTTGTTTATGGAATTAAATACGAAATATAGTCATTTGTTTTTTCTGTCTCAACCCTAATTTCTATAATTTGACATCGTTGATCGTTCCTTTTAAATTATTCTTCCCGGTGTCATATGGTATTTTGAACCCCATGGTAAATTGACCCCTGGGTCAAAATACTGCTATGGTAAATTGAACCCCCCCTGTATGGAAAATTGACCCCCATGGTAAATTGAACCCCCTGTTTTTTTCATTCTAAATGATTAATAGAACATTATACATTATATTAAAGCTAATCATAGATTAAAAATCATTCATACAAGAAGGGGAGGTAAATTTTCCATGAAAAAATCTTTGCTTGGTATAAGTGCTGTGAAGTCTTTAACAACAAAATTTAATTCAAAATACTTGTTGAAGCATTATAACTAGACCATGTAGCTTGAATGCTTTAATTATTTGAAATTATAATGTATATATAGAAGGGTAGACTAAGTTTTAATTTTCCATGGTAAAAAAGGGGGAGGGGGTCAAATTACCATGGCTTCGTTAATTTTAAAAGGAAAATTTTCAAAACATCTTTTCCAGTAAGTCAAATACATACAAACTACTTATTGGAGTATTATTACTTTATAAAGGAATTAGAATAGCTAGAATTTTTGAAATTGGAGGTGTGAAAGGGGGTTCAATATACTATGGCTAAGAATTTTTTTTCAAAACATCTTTTCAAGCATGTAAAATATATACAAACTACTTATTAGAGTATATTTACTATGTAAAGGAGTGAGAACAACTAGAATTTTTGAAATTGGAGGTGTAAAGGGAGGGGTCAATATACCATGGCAGGGGGTTCAAAATACCATGGCTAAGAAAAAAAATTCAAAACATCTTTCAAAGCATGTCAAATATATGCAAACTACTTATTGGAGTATAATTTCTATGTAAAGTAGTTAGAATATAGCTAGGATTTTTCAAATTAGGTCTTAATAGGGGGTTTCAATATACCATGTGGCTAAGTAAAATTTTCAAAACATCTTTTCAAGCAAGTAAAATACATACAAACTACTTATTTGAGTATTATAACAGTGTAAAGGAGTCATAATAGCTACAATTTTGAAATTGAAGGTCTATAGTAGGGGGTTCAATATACCGTGGTAGGGGGGTGAAAATACCATGGCAAAGTAAAATTTTCAAAATATCTTTTCCAGCAAGTAAAATACATACAAACTACTTATTGCAGTATTATTACTATATAAAGGAGTTAAAATTTCTATAATGTTGAAATTGAAGGTGTAAAGGGGGGATTAAAACTGAATAGATCATTTTGCTTTAATAAAAGATTAAAGAATTTTTATGGCATTCAAAAAGAGGTTAGGTTTTTTTATGGTAACTATGGGGTTCAATATACCATGGTTTAGCAAAAATGTTTTAAATCATATATTTTTCATTCAAGACACTAAATGATTCAGTCATGATTATTCTACAATTTTGAATTTGGCAGGTAGTAATATACCAATAAGATCAAATAAGTTGTTTCTAGGTACACATTACAAAGAATGAAATTTTAGGGTTTAGAAACAATATATAGATATAATTTTATAAAATAAGTTTAAACAATTTCAAAAAGTACATTTGAAATGTGGCTTTATTAATAAGTGAACAAGGAGATATCTGCATCAACCATTAGTGTATTGGACCCATTGGAGGTGTTGAAAACTATATAGCACACTTTTATTAAACAAAAGAAAACTTCATTTTAATAATTCCAAAGGTAATTAGAAAATTCAAGTAATCATTTGTTTATAATTAATGACAAGGATTTGTATACTATACAAATCATTGGTAATGACAATTTGTTTTTTTTAACAATTAATTATGACAATCAACCAATATACCTGAACAATAGACTTTCACACCTTTACCATTTCCTTGGACCTTCAATGCCTATTTTGTTAAATGGTGTCAAACTTTTATTGCTTGAGTTGATGATGATTGGTCTACCAATGAGAAAGTATTCCAAAAAGGACTTCTCATAAAAACTAACTAAGGATCAGCAACTCTTCAATTTGTTGTTTGCACACCGACCGTGCAAGGGCTGTATAGCCAGTCAAGGTCGGTAAAAACTTCCATTTGTTGTTGCAACTCTTCAATTCATCATTTAAAATTACAATGGACACATTAGAGTTTGACAGTTTACATAGTTTCTTAAGCAGTGATCCCAACAACAGAATCTGGCCAAGTCATGCAGTGGTGAGTATTTTATTTTATAATTTTTAGTTTTATTTACTCCTTATACTGATCAGGCCTTCATATATGATTAAAAGCCAAATATTACAATAAATGGAATTGTCAAGCATTTGCAAATAATATATTGGTCCGAGGACACAGTTATCTACCTTCAATTTTCGTTGTCCACAAATGTAGTTCCCTTTAATTTCAGTGTTTTTTCTTATTTTTTTTCTTTGTCTTTTTTTTTGAATTTTTCATTATTTGTTTGCATTTAGGTAAAAGATAAGACTTCAAATATACTGTCTGAAAAAAATCTTTTTGAAATTTTCTGTAGAAATGAGTGATTTGGTCAGGTAAATAAAGGTGGAATTTCCTCTTCTCGGAAGCTCTCAGGCTTCATCCTTACCGGTGTCCTTATGTTTGGGGTTACCAGGAGAGAATGAGCTGGTAGACTTTTCTGAATTTTTGATATGTTTTGAGATAAAAGTCAAACTTTATGCACACCAAATCTTTTTAGAATAGAGCAGGTGGATTTTTTTTTAATTGCCATTATGTTTTAATAGACAAATAGGGGAAAATAACTGTGTTCTCAGGCCTAAGAGGCTGAACCCACTGTACCCCAAAATGGACATTTTGGTCCCCTGATTTGCACAGTTTGCCTCAAAATTGAAATGTAAAGATATTTCATTGTTAATTTATAGTAAATAATTGGAAAATATTTTTAAATGCCAAAAAAAATCCTATTTTGCCATATTTTTGGATTGTTATTTATATGTTGAAACTTTTGGGGCAAATCTCAAAACAGGGGCTCATATTTTTTCTATTTTGAGCAAATTCCTACTCATTCTGATAAGAAATAGTTCTTTAAAGTTTAAATGGAGGGATTTATTCAAAAATATTTAGCAAAATTACAAGAAAAATCTGCCCCTGGCCAAAATGGGCACTGTCTGATTTGGACAGGGGCTTGTACGCCTAATGGCAAATATGGGGTGATAAATTTCAAGCATCCCAATGCCGGCGGGTGGAGATAAATACATGTGCACAGACTTGCGTACATGATAAGGCATCTAAATTTTCATTTACCTAATTTTGATGTCTCGCATCTGTGCCACAACTCAAAATGCATTAATGTTGATCATCTGGTGTTGGAGCCACACGGCTTCAACAACAGTAGAAAAACTTGCATTTCATGTGGCCATTGCTTGGGTCACCCAGCTCCATTGCCACCTTGCAAGTTGGACTTAAAGATGGCAAACAATAACCTTGGTATTATTCATGTTTTAGGATTTATAAATTAAATATTTACTTTATTTTATTTTATTGATGTAAACAACAATTTCAGATATCTTTTTGAAAGATTTGGGTGGTCCTTAATGGACCTTTGGTTGAGTTACTGTGTTGCTGGGTTGCTGTCTCATCTATGGTGCTGGTGGTAGTTTTCTCTTGCAGTAGGTACTATGGCTAAGTAAGGCAGGCACTGGGTCCAACTGCCCTTTTCTGTAGACATCGCGCTCTTTACTTTTTACCTTGGCCTCTCTATGTTCTACTATTTTTCACCACTCTGTGTGAGACGTCTACGTTTAACTTCAGGTTTTTTTTCATACTCTTGCTTGTAGGTAAACTGTTTGTCCATACTGTCGAGGAACTTTAAACTGGAATCAGATAAATTGACCCCCAAATGTTCACACTTTTGCTTTGCTGAGGTTCCTGGCATGTTGTTGTTTCTGTGAATTCCAGATGCTTATCTGGCCTCCATGCCTCTTGAGAAGATTACATTCTTGGGTAAATTCACACTCAAGGATCTGTGCACAGCTTCATTCTTGTTTGTTGTGTTGTAAAGCTTCATACTACTAATCGCATCTTCACTAAGCTTCATTTTCAAGATCTCTTGCAGTAACAACTTGTCTTTTTCGTCCATTTGCAGGATAGTAATGTTATAGCAGCCAAGATACTTGGAGCGGGTCCACCAGTTGTAGCTCTCATCACCTGCACATACCACTGAGTGCTGTTTACACATGGAGCAGTCACCATCATAACACCTGATTGTCGCCTGCAGAGCCTTGGGTAAGTCTTAACATACGTCATCTGTATTTCTTTTGTACTGTTCCATTAGCTGTCCCACTATCATCGAACTCCTACATTTGACATCTTGACTAAAAGCTTTCTTCATTTCTTTCTTTATCTCTTTTGTACGCCCATAGAACATGCCTTCACTGAACTGAGCTCTCAGGGATGCTCGGAACTGTGACTGGCCAAGGTGGACATAGTCAGCTAGCCTTTCGACCTTCCACATGGGATGTAGGGCTCTGGTTGCGTCATCTATCCCTTTGGCAGCCCGTCCGTCTCCATCTGTTGTGGCATTCTTTACAAGGATGTCTTGAAGTGCCAGCTGTGAACCAATTTCTTTACCCATCTGGTACTCTGACACTGGAGCTGCTCTGTATAAGTTTGCAGTGCAGTCTTCGTGGCCATAGGGACAATTAACATCAAAACCTTTCCCCCTCAGCCAGGCTCCTTTCCAGCACTTCTGATTTTGGGCAAATGATGCAACAATATATTGCCTCTCTGTCATTGTCTAAATGGCAAGTGTGAAAGCTTGGGTGGCATTCAGTCCCGGTTTCTTGCGGCTAGTAATGGTCTGACTGTTGTACCTTCCGTCGACTGTAACATTAATCACATTTTCTGGTAGCCCCCTCTCTCGATTTACTGACTTAACAATCTCCAGTTTTTCTGACATGTCTGTCCTGTTTAGTTTTACTAGCTCCTTTCCAACATTATGTGACATTCTCTGCATGCTTGTTCTGGATGGAGGAGGACAGTTCATTCTAGCAAACAGCTCCTGGAACTTTGTACTACCAATGGGACAGTCATGTAGGACTGCAGCTACTGCAACATTGGGTGCTCCAGGGTTGGTACCAGGTTTATTGGTGACAACTTCTTTGTATAACTTTATAACTGGGCTCATGTAGGTGCAGTT